GTGCCAAGCAATTTTCAGTTTAATAAGGCTGGTTATCAAGTTATCAAATGGAAAAGGCCGAAAAAATCATACAAATTGAATGTTGATGCTTCATTCAAACCTGGTTTGTCCATGGGAGGAGCTATACTGAGGAATTGCTCTGGGAAAATGATTTGGGCTGTCAGCTTTCAGATTGAAGCTTGTTCTAGCGAGGAAGCGGAGCTGAAGGCGCTGATACATGCCTCTGAGATGGCTATGGCGGATGGGCTGGTTGGAGTTCAGGTAGAGACTGATGCAATTCGTTCCTTAACCTTGCTTGAGAACGATTTAGGCAATTGTGCTGGGCTGCGGAATTTTAAAAGGAAAGCTAAGACCAAAGACTTTTCTTTTGGACATGTTTACCGAGAAGGGAATGGGCCGGCCCATTTCTTGGCTGCTAATCGGATTGGTTTGGCCATGAGCAAGATGTTTCATGAAGTGGAGATATTGCCCAATGCAGTTAAGAGAAGTTATTATTCTGATTTATTTGGTTTTCCGCATTTTAGATATTAATTGTGTAATTTTATTTTGGGTCAGGTCTACCTCCCCAAAATTTTCAGTTACTTGTCTCGTGTTTTTTCAGGGGAATGCCTCTGTTAAGAGGTTTTGGCTTGGTCCCCCTCTCCTCTGTATTCTAATTCTTATTAATAAAACTTCGGCAAACGTTCCCCGGCGTTCGCCCCACTGATTTTGGTGGTTTACCTTCCGGGTTTTAAAAAAAAAAAAAAAAAAAAAAAAAAGAAAAGGAAGTTTTCGGGTTCAACTCACCCCTAGAGAAGAAGAAACCCTGCTGCAGGGTCGTACTTTCAAACGCAGATTTGGAAGCCTTCCTCAACTCCGATCGTCGCGATCTACACCATTCCAGAATCCTTGTTTTAAGATCTTTCTCTGGACACCTCACACGCCTGATTTGAACGAGTGAAGCTCAAGATATGGGCTGAACAGTCAACCCTACGCACAGTGACGAAAACTGCGAACTGCTCTCTCCTTCCTCTCTTTCTTTGTTCTGATCGGTTCTTTTCTCTTAGGAGCCAAGTAAATTCGAATGGGGGGTACTAAGGCTGACCCTTAGGCCTCCCAAAAGGTTATTCCTTTTGTGTGGAGTGGGTTGAGTGGGGTGTGGAGGATTCTCCACCAAGTCTTACTAAATAAGTACAAATGGGGTCCAACCCTTATCATTTTATTCTCTACACAACCCCACTCCATCATGGTCCGCCCCAAAAGTCAACATACCATATTCTCTTTGTCTTGTAAGTGCCAAGGAGGTGTGGGACGCACCCCCTTGGGTCCAAGTCAGCCCGGAAGGAAAATCCTTACCGATAATTCCTTACGGAGGAAAATTGAGTGTTATTATTTGTGTCTTGGTAATGTGATTTCTCTCCATATAATATCGGGCTCTTATACTAACCAAGCTGGCCCACATCAGTATTTGGAAACTCACTCACGAAACACGGATCCCAACGATAGGTTAACAAACACAAGTTACATCAAACACTACTCGTTTCACACAATGTCAAAGCATGAGTTACATAAGATAACACACGTGTTACACACGGCTGGTAATAACAAGTTCAAAACATCAATTACGAAACTTTCAAATAGTAAATTCGGGTACACACGGGTGCGGTGTCACAAGTTCACCCCCCCTTAACAGGAATTTCGTCCCCGAAATTCACAACGCTACTCGAATAGGAATGCATACTGCTTCCTCATCAAAGCCTCCGTTTCCCAAGTCTCTTCTTCGACCCGGTCACTCTTCCAAAGGACTTTAACCATTGGAACTTCTTTACTCCTCAGTTTCTTCACTTTTCTGTCAATAACTCTTACCGGTTGCACGGCATAGTTCAAATCTTCACGTACCTCCACGGGCGGCTTCTCCAACACATGAGAAGGATCATGCACATACTTCTTAAGCATGGATACGTGAAACACATTATGAATCTTCTCCAACTCGGGAGTCAACTGTAGACGATATGCCACGGCCCCAATTCTCTCTAGAATTCTGAATGGCCCTATGTAGCGTGGGTTAAGCTTCCCTCGGCTCTGGAACCGGATGATCCCTTTCCAAGGAGAAACTTTCAAGAATACCTCGTCATCAACCTTAAACTCTAAGGTTCTTCGACGCTTATCTGCATAACTCTTTTGTCTATCCTGAGCCGCCTTGAGTCTCTCTCGAATTAACTTCACCTTTGATTTGGTGACCTCCACCAACTCAGTACCCTCGAGTTTGGCCATGCCAACCTCGTCCCAGCATAACGGTGTACGGCACCTCCTCCCATACAATGCCTCGTATGGAGGCATGCCGATGCTTGCCTGATAACTGTTGTTATAGGCAAACTCCACAAGTGCTAAGTGGTTGTCCCAACTCCCCTGGAACTCCAATGCACAAGCCCTCAGCATGTCTTCTAGGATCCGTATAACCCTTTCAGACTGCCCATCCGTCTGTGGATGGAAAGCAGTGCTGAACTTCAACTTCGTTCCCATAGACTCCTGGAATTTCGGCCAAAAACGTGATGTGAATCGTGGGTCTCTATCAGATACAATGGTCACCGGGACCCCATGCAGCCTCACGATCTCATCCGTATACAATTTGGCTAACCTCTCAAGTGGGTAGGTAGTGTTGATAGGCAAGAAGTGTGCACTCTTTGTGAGCCTATCCACAACGACCCAAACCGCGTCATAGTTCCTGATAGTCCGTGGTAAGCCTACCACGAAATCCATAGTCACGTGCTCCCACTTCCATTCAGGGATGGAGAGTGGTTGCAATAAGCCTGCTGGGTGCTGATGTTCTGCCTTAACTTGTTGACAAGTAAGGCACCGACTGATGTACTCGGCTATTTCCCTCTTCATTCCAGACCACCAGTAACTTTCCTTCAAATCACGGTACATTTTCGTGCCCCCCGGGTGCATGGCATAAGCCGATGAATGAGCCTCCTCTAAGATGGACTTTCGGAGCTCATCACCTGACGGTACACACACTCGGTCACGAAATAACAAGAGACCATCATCTCCTTCCCTGAAATCCTCCACCGGCCCCGCTTGCATGCGTTCCCGGACCTTCATAAGTTCTTCGTCGGCTTCCTGACCCTTCTTGATCTCATCAAGTAAAGTGGGTCTCACCTCAAATCGTGCCAATAAGGCACCATCGCTGGTTACCTCCAGTTGGGCTCTTAATGCCCTCAAATTAGTTATCAATGCCCCAGACGAGCTCTTCCGGCTCAAAGCATCTGCCACCACGTTTGCCTTGCCTGGGTGATACTCTATCACTAGATGGTAGTCTTTTATCAGCTCCATCCACCGTCTCTGTCTCATGTTTAGCTCTTTCTGAGTAAACACGTACTTCAAGCTCTTGTGATCAGTGTATATGTGACATGTCTCCCCGTAGAGATAATGTCTCCATATCTTCAGTGCAAATACCACTGCCCCGAGCTCCAAATCATGAGTAGGATAATTCACCTCATGCTTCTTCAATTGTCGTGAAGCATAGGCGATTACCCTCCCATTCTGCATCAGTACACATCCGAGCCCTTGGATGCTCGCATCGCTATAGACATCGTACCCCACACCTTGTTTGGGTAATGCAAGTACCGGTGCCTCAGTCAATCTCTTCTTTAGTTCCATGAACCCTTTCTCACATTTGTCATCCCATACAAACTTAGCTCCTTTACGAGTGAGCTTCGTCAATGGCGATGCCAAAACAGAGAACTTCTCCACGAACTTTCTATAGTAGCCTGCCAATCCAAGGAAACTACGAATTTCCTTGACGTTCTTTGGCCTCTCCCATTCAGTAATGGCTTCTATCTTCTTGTTATCAACAGCAATCCCCGATCCCGAAACCACGTGCCCGAGGAAGCCAATCTCCTTTAGCCAAAATTCACATTTAGAAAATTTGGCATAGAGTTGCTTCTCCCGTAGTGTTTCAAGAACAAGTATCAAGTGCTCCTCATGCTCTTCTTCACTCTTTGAGTAAATCAAGATGTCATCTATGAACACAATCACGAATCGATCCAAGTATTTATGGAATACTCGGTTCATCAAGTCCATGAATGCCGCCGGGGCGTTTGTTAACCCAAACGACATAACAAGGAACTCAAAATGCCCATACCTTGTGCGGAAAGCACTCTTTGGTATGTCATCTTCCTTAATCTTCAATTGATGGTACCCCGACCTTAAGTCAATCTTCGAAAACACGGTTGCTCCTCGTAGTTGATCAAACAAGTCATCAATCCTAGGCAACGGATACCTATTCTTGATTGCGACCTTGTTCAGTTGACGATAGTCAATGCACATTCGAAGTGTCCCATCTTTCTTTTTCACAAAAAGAACCGGTGCTCCCCACGGGGAGTGGCTTGGTCTAATGAAACCGTTATCCAAAAGCTCTTGCAATTGGGTTTTCAACTCGTTAAGTTCAGCGGGTGCCATCCGGTATGGCGGTATGGAGATTGGTTTGGTACCAGGCTCGACCTCGATCACAAATTCAATCTCTCTGTCAGGTGGAAGCCCCGGTAGGTCTTTAGGGAAGACATCCGGATACTTACAAACCACCCTCACATCATCGATGTTCGTTTCCTCTTTGGTTTTGTCAACCACGTATGCTAGATATGCGTGGCATCCCTTCCTCATCATATTTCTCGCTCTCACGGCGGATATGATACAACTATTTGATTTGCCGCGGTCCCCCTCGAAGCGTAGGGTGTCCCCCTGTGTGCCTTCGAGTTCCAACACCTTTGTGTAGCAATCTACCCTAGCATGATGCTTTTCTAGCCAATCCATCCCTAGGATTGCATCGAACTCCATCATACTCAGCGGTACGAAATCACACGTCAAGGTTTGGCCACCGATTTCCACCATACAAGATGGATAGTAATTGTTTCTTTCAACGTCTTCCCCTAGTGGGGTTGATACCACTAAGGTTTGTGTCATTGGTATTGATTGCATCTCTAAGCTCTCGGCAAACGCCTCACTCACGAATGAACGTTGCGCTCCGGTATCGATAAGGATTCGTGCATCCTTCCCGTTAATCTTTAGTGTCCCTACATTCATGAACCATGTAAGACATCTTTCCTACCCTCCCTACTCATTTATAGAAGGTTGCAATGTTCACACGCACGTTAGGGATCAAGAAGAGGCCTTAACGTCGCAAAACGATGCGAAAAAATCGGGTTTCGGCAATCTGGGTGCCAGGCACGGCGTGCCCGGGGTAGGCACGATCGTGCCTGGCTCAGGAAAACGCCCTGGGGCTACTGCCTTGGAGGCACGATCGTGTCTGCCTTAGGCACGATCGTGCCTGGGTTGGAAAAATCCGGGGAACCACTGACTTGGAGGCACGATCGTGTCTGCCTTAGGCACGATCGTGCCTAGTTTGGAGAAAAACCCTGGGCAGCTACTGCCTTGTAGGCACGATCGTGCCTGGGTCCCAGCCGCCTGAAGTTGCCCGAAATCCCCCGGTTCGACCCCAAAACCTCGTGCAATGATCCTAGCGATTAGTATCCTCAATTCATGGACTAATTAAGGATAAAACACTAGTATATGAGAGGCAATACCTGCGACGGAGTCCGGGTTAGCTTGAGCATCCGCCTCCGTCATCGCATAGACCCTAGCCTGGGTCCTCCCTTGGTTCACGGATGGCGCGTTGCTCGCACTTGCTCCCCCTTGCCCCCTGCTTGCTTGAGAAGCCCCGGTCTGATTCCGTGTACCCGTCGGGCCACTACTTGGTCCCGATGTCCTTGCCTCGCCCAGTTGTGGGCAATGTGCCTTCAAATGCCCGGCATCCCCACATTGGAAACATCTAGGGGGGTCGCGACATTTACCGGAATGGTTCCTCTTGCAATTGTTGCAACGAGTTACCACTGAGGTCTGTGACCTCGAGCCTTGCCCACTTGGGCCTTGGTTCCCCCTTGATGGTGGCGGTGGTGCCCGGAAAGATCCTCCTCCGTGGTTCCCCCTTTTGTTGGAACCTTGGGAGCCATGACTCTCCCATTTTCTCTTCTTCGCCTCTTCGGCGTCTCTCTTCTTCCGTTCCTCCCACTGTTTCTCCCCTTTCAATGCTTGTTCAACCACTTGGGCGAAAGTCATATTAGGCAATTGCGTTGCCCTATCACGTATCTCCAAGTCAAGAGCGTCCCAAAAGTGGTTCACCATGCGGTTCTCGTCACAAGCATACTCCGGTATGTAGTCGGCGAGATCCCGGAACTTGTACTCAAGCTCCTTCACTGACATGTTACCCCCTTGGGTTAGGAGGGTGTATTCCCTCACCTTCTTATTCACCTCGAAATCAGAATAGTATTGGGCAAAGAACTCCCGTTGGAAGTCCTCCCAAACGACGGTCTCACCGTACTTGTTCCTGGTTCCATCCCACCACTTGGATGCCATCCCCTCGAGCAATCTTACCGCAATTCTCAGTTTGAGATTCGGCGCGATTTGCATGTCAAGGGCCGCTTCATTTAGCCTCTTGATCCATTGTGCTGCCACTGAAATGTCCCCTGCTCCATCAAAGGGTTTGCACCCCAAATCTCTTGCTTCTTTGATGTACTTGGAAATCCTTATGATTGGACCTCCATCATTTTGGCCTCCACGTGGTTCCACATGGACTCTAGATGCACCATGACTTCCTCCTCGTGAAGCCATGCCCGAAGGTTGCCCAGCCCGGCGCCTTCGGCGTTCCCTCCTCTCTTCACGCTCACGGTGATATTGTTGGAGCAGCGCCTCTATTCTTGCTAGGGAGTCATTCTCCCCCTCTTCATCGCTCACATCATCGTCATCCCCTTCGTAAGGGGTCTCAACCGGCTCGGTCCCCGGTTGGTAAGTCGAGTCCTCATGGGACCAGTAGGTTTCACTTTCTGTGTCGACATGACCGTCACTCACGGTCTGTGATCGGCCTCCACGGCCAGCTCCTCTAGATGCCCTAGAGGTCCTTTGACTGCCCTGTCCAGTCTCCTCTGGTACACGGCCGGTCGGGTTTCTCCTAGTAATCCTGCCACCACGGTCCATTTCTGAAAGAAATTGGGAAGGAGTCGTTAGACTCGTATCAAATGTCAATTGACGGATAGGTACTTAAGACACATTTTGGCTCGAGTCACCGCCATACCAATTGCTAAGGGTACCATCTTAACAATTAGAGACCTTGCAACCCAAGTACCAAAAGCTCTCCAAGTACAAAACTTCTATGCTCATGGTTTTCAAAATCTTTTCAAAAAGAGAATTTTGAGACTTCATTACGAAGTTTATGGACTAAGGCTCTGATACCAACTTAATTGTCACGCCCCGGACCTCCCCGGACACGTCAACAACCCGCCGTACAATACGAATAGTCAACCGCAGTCCAACACATTCATATTATACAAGGCGTCATGAATATCATTCACACATAAGTCATCCATAAACATACATAATAAGCAATTCAATACGCAGCGGAAAACATTGTTTAAAACCAAGGGCCACACAGGGCAAACATGAGCACGCAGGCTCTAAAGTAAAATATCCATGAGCATGTTTATTAATGTTCTAAAACTGAATGGAGGAAGAACGAACCAAGTCTTCTCTCCGGGGAAATCACTCGGGCAACGAGCACAGGAAGCAAGCTCTAGCCTCAACCTGAAATGGTGGTGGGACGCCCCCGAAGGGGTCAGTACTCTATACGGCTATAAAGTACTGGTGTGGCAGGCATCTAATAGATATACAACAAGTATTTCAAGCACAAGACCCTCAAATAGGGTGATAGTATATTATGATTGTAACCCTAAGTTACCCATTTGAAAATATACTTACTTTAGGTAAAAGTCAAGTAGTCGGCCCGTGGGCCCATGTTCATTTAGAAATCACCATTCCCATTTCCCGTGACTACAAGCCACGATACTCAATAGAGTCCAACCCTAACACATGACATTGTATTCTAGAGCTCGGCTCTACTACATCACCATACAATTCATGTCACTCGGGTCAATTCCTTACCTTGCGTTCTAGAGCTCGGCTCTATTACATCACCACGCAAGCCCTAGAGCTCGGCTCTAGCTATACAATACATAGACTACAAGTCTACACCTTACATGCATTCTAGAGCTCGGCTCTACTACATCACCATGCATTAAGGTCCAATTCTCAAGCAACCCTATGCCTAGAATCGACATATCATTAAACTGCCATGGGTCATCCTTAAAGACTTCCCATAACTTAACCTTAGTTCCATACTAAGTTATTATATACACTTGAACTATATTCAGGCACCTTTCATACAATCCAATCCCTAGGATCAATTTAATCAACAAGTTCCAATAATCACTAACTAGTATTTCAATACTATTAAGATTATTGTTTTCATACCACTATCCTCTTTATTTGTAATTCTCTACATAATTACAAATATGTAGCAGCAACTTAAGTATCCAATCTCAATACACAAATATTCATTTATGTATCCAAATACTTCATACATGAGCAAAATACCTATTTCGCAAAAAAAAAACAGTTCATTTATACTCATTAAATCTCATGTTATTCATACATTCTCAAATCATTTCAAATTTCATTCTTTGGCAACCATATCAATATTTCATCAATATATGATCATCATAATCCATGGAAAATAATGATTTAAGCATTTAGGTAATCTCATGCTTAACCTACAAGTTGTAAGCAATTAGATGTCAATCCTCACCTTAAAGAGCTTTAGACTTCCTTTCACGCTCCAACGATCAAGGCTCGGCCAAGGAAGGTTGCGAGCTAACTCCTTGCGTTAAAAAAAATGAGTGGGCAGCAGCCTTCTCTCAGCAGCTGGCTCAGCAGCCGGCTCTCAGCAGCTGGCTCCACCCTCCTGCCACGAAACTAAACAGTCCTCTTGAAGAGGTGTTCCCCGGCAAGTTTACTTCCTAACCGTTCAAGGTTCATTTAAGGTTAGTGCCTAACCTTTAAACTCACATGTCTAATATTTCATGAATACATTCTACCCTAAGAACAAAGTGGAATGGCCTCCTAAACCTTACATACGATCTATGTAAAGAAAAGGAAGTTTTCGGGTTCAACTCACCCCTAGAGAAGAAGAAACCCTGCTGCAGGGTCGTACTTTCAAACGCAGATTTGGAAGCCTTCCTCAACTCCGATCGTCGCGATCTACACCATTCCAGAATCCTTGTTTTAAGATCTTTCTCTGGACACCTCACACGCCTGATTTGAACGAGTGAAGCTCAAGATATGGGCTGAACAGTCAACCCTACGCACAGTGACGAAAACTGCGAACTGCTCTCTCCTTCCTCTCTTTCTTTGTTCTGATCGGTTCTTTTCTCTTAGGAGCCAAGTAAATTCGAATGGGGGGTACTAAGGCTGACCCTTAGGCCTCCCAAAAGGTTATTCCTTTTGTGTGGAGTGGGTTGAGTGGGGTGTGGAGGATTCTCCACCAAGTCTTACTAAATAAGTACAAATGGGGTCCAACCCTTATCATTTTATTCTCTACACAACCCCACTCCATCATGGTCCGCCCCAAAAGTCAACATACCATATTCTCTTTGTCTTGTAAGTGCCAAGGAGGTGTGGGACGCACCCCCTTGGGTCCAAGTCAGCCCGGAAGGAAAATCCTTACCGATAATTCCTTACGGAGGAAAATTGAGTGTTATTATTTGTGTCTTGGTAATGTGATTTCTCTCCATATAATATCGGGCTCTTATACTAACCAAGCTGGCCCACATCAGTATTTGGAAACTCACTCACGAAACACGGATCCCAACGATAGGTTAACAAACACAAGTTACATCAAACACTACTCGTTTCACACAATGTCAAAGCATGAGTTACATAAGATAACACACGTGTTACACACGGCTGGTAATAACAAGTTCAAAACATCAATTACGAAACTTTCAAATAGTAAATTCGGGTACACACGGGTGCGGTGTCACAAGTTCACCCCCCCTTAACAGGAATTTCGTCCCCGAAATTCACAACGCTACTCGAATAGGAATGCATACTGCTTCCTCATCAAAGCCTCCGTTTCCCAAGTCTCTTCTTCGACCCGGTCACTCTTCCAAAGGACTTTAACCATTGGAACTTCTTTACTCCTCAGTTTCTTCACTTTTCTGTCAATAACTCTTACCGGTTGCACGACATAGTTCAAATCTTCACGTACCTCCACGGGCGGCTTCTCCAACACATGAGAAGGATCATGCACATACTTCTTAAGCATGGATACGTGAAACACATTATGAATCTTCTCCAACTCGGGAGTCAACTGTAGACGATATGCCACGGCCCCAATTCTCTCTAGAATTCTGAATGGCCCTATGTAGCGTGGGTTAAGCTTCCCTCGGCTCTGGAACCGGATGATCCCTTTCCAAGGAGAAACTTTCAAGAATACCTCGTCATCAACCTTAAACTCTAAGGTTCTTCGACGCTTATCTGCATAACTCTTTTGTCTATCCTGAGCCGCCTTGAGTCTCTCTCGAATTAACTTCACCTTTGATTTGGTGACCTCCACCAACTCAGTACCCTCGAGTTTGGCCATGCCAACCTCGTCCCAGCATAACGGTGTACGGCACCTCCTCCCATACAATGCCTCGTATGGAGGCATGCCGATGCTTGCCTGATAACTGTTGTTATAGGCAAACTCCACAAGTGCTAAGTGGTTGTCCCAACTCCCCTGGAACTCCAATGCACAAGCCCTCAGCATGTCTTCTAGGATCCGTATAACCCTTTCAGACTGCCCATCCGTCTGTGGATGGAAAGCAGTGCTGAACTTCAACTTCGTTCCCATAGACTCCTGGAATTTCGGCCAAAAACGTGATGTGAATCGTGGGTCTCTATCAGATACAATGGTCACCGGGACCCCATGCAGCCTCACGATCTCATCCGTATACAATTTGGCTAACCTCTCAAGTGGGTAGGTAGTGTTGATAGGCAAGAAGTGTGCACTCTTTGTGAGCCTATCCACAACGACCCAAACCGCGTCATAGTTCCTGATAGTCCGTGGTAAGCCTACCACGAAATCCATAGTCACGTGCTCCCACTTCCATTCAGGGATGGAGAGTGGTTGCAATAAGCCTGCTGGGTGCTGATGTTCTGCCTTAACTTGTTGACAAGTAAGGCACCGACTGATGTACTCGGCTATTTCCCTCTTCATTCCAGACCACCAGTAACTTTCCTTCAAATCACGGTACATTTTCGTGCCCCCCGGGTGCATGGCATAAGCCGATGAATGAGCCTCCTCTAAGATGGACTTTCGGAGCTCATCACCTGACGGTACACACACTCGGTCACGAAATAACAAGAGACCATCATCTCCTTCCCTGAAATCCTCCACCGGCCCCGCTTGCATGCGTTCCCGGACCTTCATAAGTTCTTCGTCGGCTTCCTGACCCTTCTTGATCTCATCAAGTAAAGTGGGTCTCACCTCAAATCGTGCCAATAAGGCACCATCGCTGGTTACCTCCAGTTGGGCTCTTAATGCCCTCAAATTAGTTATCAATGCCCCAGACGAGCTCTTCCGGCTCAAAGCATCTGCCACCACGTTTGCCTTGCCTGGGTGATACTCTATCACTAGATGGTAGTCTTTTATCAGCTCCATCCACCGTCTCTGTCTCATGTTTAGCTCTTTCTGAGTAAACACGTACTTCAAGCTCTTGTGATCAGTGTATATGTGACATGTCTCCCCATAGAGATAATGTCTCCATATCTTCAGTGCAAATACCACTGCCCCGAGCTCCAAATCATGAGTAGGATAATTCACCTCATGCTTCTTCAATTGTCGTGAAGCATAGGCGATTACCCTCCCATTCTGCATCAGTACACATCCGAGCCCTTGGATGCTCGCATCGCTATAGACATCGTACCCCACACCTTGTTTGGGTAATGCAAGTACCGGTGCCTCAGTCAATCTCTTCTTTAGTTCCATGAACCCTTTCTCACATTTGTCATCCCATACAAACTTAGCTCCTTTACGAGTGAGCTTCGTCAATGGCGATGCCAAAACAGAGAACTTCTCCACGAACTTTCTATAGTAGCCTGCCAATCCAAGGAAACTACGAATTTCCTTGACGTTCTTTGGCCTCTCCCATTCAGTAATGGCTTCTATCTTCTTGTTATCAACAGCAATCCCCGATCCCGAAACCACGTGCCCGAGGAAGCCAATCTCCTTTAGCCAAAATTCACATTTAGAAAATTTGGCATAGAGTTGCTTCTCCCGTAGTGTTTCAAGAACAAGTATCAAGTGCTCCTCATGCTCTTCTTCACTCTTTGAGTAAATCAAGATGTCATCTATGAACACAATCACGAATCGATCCAAGTATTTATGGAATACTCGGTTCATCAAGTCCATGAATGCCGCTGGGGCGTTTGTTAACCCAAACGACATAACAAGGAACTCAAAATGCCCATACCTTGTGCGGAAAGCACTCTTTGGTATGTCATCTTCCTTAATCTTCAATTGATGGTACCCCGACCTTAAGTCAATCTTCGAAAACACGGTTGCTCCTCGTAGTTGATCAAACAAGTCATCAATCCTAGGCAACGGATACCTATTCTTGATTGCGACCTTGTTCAGTTGACGATAGTCAATGCACATTCGAAGTGTCCCATCTTTCTTTTTCACAAAAAGAACCGGTGCTCCCCACGGGGAGTGGCTTGGTCTAATGAAACCGTTATCCAAAAGCTCTTGCAATTGGGTTTTCAACTCGTTAAGTTCAGCGGGTGCCATCCGGTATGGCGGTATGGAGATTGGTTTGGTACCAGGCTCGACCTCGATCACAAATTCAATCTCTCTGTCAGGTGGAAGCCCCGGTAGGTCTTTAGGGAAGACATCCGGATACTTACAAACCACCCTCACATCATCGATGTTCGTTTCCTCTTTGGTTTTGTCAACCACGTATGCTAGATATGCGTGGCATCCCTTCCTCATCATATTTCTCGCTCTCACGGCGGATATGATACAACTATTTGATTTGCCGCGGTCCCCCTCGAAGCGTAGGGTGTCCCCCTGTGTGCCTTCGAGTTCCAACACCTTTGTGTAGCAATCTACCCTAGCATGATGCTTTTCTAGCCAATCCATCCCTAGGATTGCATCGAACTCCATCATACTCAGCGGTACGAAATCACACGTCAAGGTTTGGCCACCGATTTCCACCATACAAGATGGATAGTAATTGTTTCTTTCAACGTCTTCCCCTAGTGGGGTTGATACCACTAAGGTTTGTGTCATTGGTATTGATTGCATCTCTAAGCTCTCGGCAAACGCCTCACTCACGAATGAACGTTGCGCTCCGGTATCGATAAGGATTCGTGCATCCTTCCCGTTAATCTTTAGTGTCCCTACATTCATGAACCATGTAAGACATCTTTCCTACCCTCCCTACTCATTTATAGAAGGTTGCAATGTTCACACGCACGTTAGGGATCAAGAAGAGGCCTTAACGTCGCAAAACGATGCGAAAAAATCGGGTTTCGGCAATCTGGGTGCCAGGCACGGCGTGCCCGGGGTAGGCACGATCGTGCCTGGCTCAGGAAAACGCCCTGGGGCTACTGCCTTGGAGGCACGATCGTGTCTGCCTTAGGCACGATCGTGCCTGGGTTGGAAAAATCCTGGGAACCACTGACTTGGAGGCACGATCGTGTCTGCCTTAGGCACGATCGTGCCTAGTTTGGAGAAAAACCCTGGGCAGCTACTGCCTTGTAGGCACGATCGTGCCTGGGTCCCAGCCGCCTGAAGTTGCCCGAAATCCCCCGGTTCGACCCCAAAACCTCGTGCAATGATCCTAGCGATTAGTATCCTCAATTCATGGACTAATTAAGGATAAAACACTAGTATATGAGAGGCAATACCTGCGACGGAGTCCGGGTTAGCTTGAGCATCCGCCTCCGTCATCGCATAGACCCTAGCCTGGGTCCTCCCTTGGTTCACGGATGGCGCGTTGCTCGCACTTGCTCCCCCTTGCCCCCTGCTTGCTTGAGAAGCCCCGGTCTGATTCCGTGTACCCGTCGGGCCACTACTTGGTCCCGATGTCCTTGCCTCGCCCAGTTGTGGGCAATGTGCCTTCAAATGCCCGGCATCCCCACATTGGAAACATCTAGGGGGGTCGCGACATTTACCGGAATGGTTCCTCTTGCAATTGTTGCAACGAGTTACCACTGAGGTCTGTGACCTCGAGCCTTGCCCACTTGGGCCTTGGTTCCCCCTTGATGGTGGCGGTGGTGCCCGGAAAGATCCTCCTCCGTGGTTCCCCCTTTTGTTGGAACCTTGGGAGCCATGACTCTCCCATTTTCTCTTCTTCGCCTCTTCGGCGTCTCTCTTCTTCCGTTCCTCCCACTGTTTCTCCCCTTTCAATGCTTG